GGCCAAGATATCGTCAAATGGGTTAATTGCTAAAATTAGCGCAATGTAAATAGACCTTAGCGTTCAAAGCATTTACAATATGCAACATTGCTTACTAGCTTATCGTAAACGTAAGTATGTCAAATAACTACCTTGCTAGGAACAGGAAGAAAGAAAGGCGCACTGTTGCATAGTTCCTTGCAAAATTATGGTATCGCCGAGATAAATATGTGATATCGGTCAAACATAAGCGTGCAGCTTTTCACTGGATTAAAATTATACATATTATTATTATTATCTTATTGCATGAGGTGTTGGCAATTCTATCTACAATATATGTCAGATAATTATACTTCACGTACGGTGCGAAGCTGTTCCCCGTGGCCCAGTGGCATAAGCTGCTGACTGGCGGTTCAAGTCGCTGCTTGTCATAGGTTCGAATCCTGATGGATCCGATGGATGCGCACTACTGAAGATGTCCAACAGGCTGAAATTGCGCACTATTACTTTCCCGGGCATGTGGACGGTTGACAGTTTTGGAAGCTGGCTAGGACGAACCTTAATTATTTCTATCAAAAGCCCCTACTAATGAGCACATCAAACTTTTATAGCTGGTAGTTTGTTAAAAAAAGCGATCGATTGCGGGTATACGGCTGGTGCAACGCGTATTTGTGCGGTTGCATGCAGGTTCCGGAATCAATTTTCTCAAACCACAGTGTTTTCTCGAAAAGCGAAATAACACTCTGTCAAACTGGGAACTACATCTGGATTTAACTGAGCAATTCGTGACATTCTGACTGACTAAATCAAAATCCAACTCAACAAACATAAGTAAACTAGCGAGCATCCGACAGAGCACAATTCCGCTGTGTCCCCAATGTGCGTCGAAACAAACGCAAGTTAAGATAAGCGCCGTACAAGTCTGCATCTTTTGTTTGTGGAGCAAAAGCCAGCAGTTTGATATTTAGGCAGCCACATGGAAAAAGTATGTGACTGAGGAAGACAAAAGGGGAACGCATTGTTACACACATGTTGGTGCTGTCAAATCTATTGAAGTTCATTAGGACTGCGCGCAGTGAAATATCATTACGATATTGCTACTAACTAAGTTGAAACGAAACGAAATTATATATAGTTATCGGCTACCATCAAAAGAATACACGGATTTTTTAATATAATTCTAGTCTATATGGATGAACACACAGCAGCTCTATTAACTTGCTAGCAAAATAAATTCTTTCCACTCAACTGGCGGCTGATGCATATTGACAACATCTAAAACAGAATACACACGACCCAATTATTGAGATTAAGCTCAACTACTTGAACCGTTACATCATCGACTTGAATCCTATATACTTGTTAGAAAAATCTGTACCGAGCTGGTGCAACTACTATTCATGATTTCGAGTGCAAGCAGCAGTAGTATATTTAACATCCTGCTGGGAAATAAAAATAGTGTTTAAAGAGAGAAGAAGAGCAGTGATTATGATATTTTTGAATTCCAATTTTAGCCGAAAGACCGAAACTGATATCACGTTCATAATACTCAGCTAGAACAACAGAAGTTATGTCGAACAGCAGTTTTTAAACGGAATTGATGAACTTTATTCGGCTACTCCAAATATCAGAGGCATAATGCAACACGACTAAGGATTTTTGGCGCACTTTGTAAATGCATCTCTACACATGATTTGCATGCCATATATGACATATGGGCACCATAAGTAAACCTTCACCCAAAAATGCCATTTTGAAATTTATCACCCAAGTTCTGTCAGTTAGTTTTTAACGGATGTACACGCAGGATGTGACAGTGCAGTTTCCGAGTTAAATTTATTAGTTGGCTTACATTCACTAATTTGAATATCGCGTAACAAAGCGAGGCGGATTCCACTGTTCACAGAAGTATTGCTTACATGCTACGGATTAGAACTATGCAACCGCGTTCAAATTTTGCATCCAGGCATCGACTGAGCTATTCGCTACAAAGACATACGACTGAACATATGGCTTGGCGTTAGCCCCAGGACACGAAACCGGTTGCTTGTCAGTAGTCTTGGTATTGTCTGTTACTTATTGCCTTGATGATACAAAGTTAATTGGTGTCACCCTGATAGGCATGCGTCTATACCTAGCTCATTATACCTCTCAAAAAACATACTGTTTTATGTTTTCTGAGGTAAATGAAGACGTAACTGTCCATCTTTACTTACTAGCTGGATCGTTTGCTATTGTTGCGCTGTGCTCGTTGGTACGGATTAAAGATCCAAATGTAATATGTTGTCTTCTAATCATATTGTTACCGTGAAGCTGCAATTTTGTTCAGTACTCACAGAAAATGATGGGGAAAACCTTGCAACGTAAGCCTCACGCAATCACATAACTAAACTCAAACGAATGTACAGAGTGTCGTGGATAGTTTGGGTGAGTAGTCAACTGCGTAAACATTTCACAACACTCACACTTAAGTCACGTTATAAAATCCGATGCTGCGCGTAGTATACGCTCTACTGCTAATAACTTGCATGCGCCTCAACAGTCCTGTTAAAGCCCCAGGGATATCAAACTTCACTAGTTTAGTGTCAGCGTACAGATCACTCGTACATATTTAAAAAGTTTTTTTTCCAGTCTTTCGACTCAGAGTTTTGGTATTCATGTTTAAGTTTGAAAAACGTTTAACGAACGTGCTCGGACAATGTAGTAAATAATGCCTGCATCCAATATCAGCAACCCCGTTGGATACGTAGAAAAGAAGCGCCCCAACTTGTTTATACACTTAAATATCTGTAAACGAGTTATTGTTGTGATTGCTTGAGATCTCGATGCCGCTGCTTTAAGATAGTATAATGCTCTACATGCCCACAAAATCATTATACGGACGTTTCGCTCTGTTGGGTAGCGCCGATAGTCGTATTAATCGGCTCCATGTGGATCCGAGCCAATGAAAACTTGCCGCTAACCACGTGTAGCTTAGTAGCGAGCGGCACGCGACGCTACTGATCATGTGTTCGGATTTTGGTGGATCAGATTGCTGCGTACCAACAGCGAGGAGTAAAAGGTCGAAGCAGCATTCCCGTGCCTCCTCGGACACGTACGGTACTAGCTGAATAACAAGCTGCTGCGATTAAACCTAATTCACTTATGATAAACTATACGTTGCTGCAAGCATCCCACATATTTTGAAATATCCAACTCGCTTTTCTTCCACCCCTCCTACTAAAATAATTTAGATATTCACCAGATCAACGAAGGTAGTGCCAAGCCTTTTTGTGCTACTAAAGCTCTTTGGTTCTATAATTGGTACTTCGACGTTTTGGGCTCTAACCTTAATAACAATTCGCACTTTCCATCCTTGGTATGTTAACAGATGTGATATCCCTTTTTATCTGTTTCAATATTCCACCGCATAACACAGCTACGTACAAAAATATAAGTGAGTTTGGTTCTGCAAATGATCTACTACCCTCCCCTGTTTACCTTCCGGTTATTGTATTGCGAACGCAGTATAAGTCTATCGAGATTGAATTACTGAAATGCTATTGCGGTAGCAGAAGTTTAAGGCTCCATAGACGCTTCTTCCATAAGCGGAAATTTACACAGCTATTTTCTAGGAACTTACTGTGGGAGTGATCATCCGCTCACTCTGTCCATATGGCGGTAACCATTTAATTAATCATGTGCCTGCGGAATCTATGAGGTCCTGGTGTAATTGCGCTGTTCGAATTTGTTTGAATAACCTATAACGTATAGCTCTATTTTGACTCGATTATTTATTACTCCCAGCCATGATCTCATCGTTTTAGTTTGCGTTCCCGTATTTACTATGGGGACCGACAGACACCTCTCCACCTTGGGCTAAATTGTTCTCTATCACTTAATTAATTAACTGCTTTCTGCTGCATGTTGTATTCTATGGTCACTTTCGCCAATATTGCGAGCGTCAAATATTACATGTTCGTTGGTACAGTGGAACAAACTTAGTAGGTGATAGAAAGGGTTGTGAACTAGGGTAGGTTTCAGAGACTAAAAGCTAGATAAAGACGTGATGAAACATCCGATTATTTCAATTACTGCATTCATTGTTTGCTCTTTTTGGTACTCAAACATACATTCTCTATGAATTTACAAGCACAAACAATGAAAGGTGATAATTTTTGGTTTGATTTCATCCTCCATAATCTACTCAGTGTTTATCCGACAACACCTTGCTAATCTGATCCTGCTTTCACGCTGAGGACTAGTTTATTAAATCAGGAGGTAGTTTTGTTTAACATATAATAAATTAAAGCATACTGAACAGAACAAAGCAAAATTAAAAGCAACCGTACACGTAGTGTTGATTGTCCTGCCTGAATGTTTGCTTTGTAGAATTGTCCATACTACTGCCTTAGACTGGCTTGACTGAGTGTAAGTCTTTAAGATTGGGCCAGAATTACTATTTTTCAACTCTGTAGGTATGGATCTTTATCTCATCCGCATTTTCTTACACATGATCCCATCTAAAACTGAAAGTCTTATGCAAACTGGTTAAAAGCATTGGGAATTCTCGCCGTTACGCCACATTTTGTTTCTGACTAATGCAAGAAGGGGCATATGGGCCCACCGTTTAAAGCAATAATAAGACGATAAAAATTTACTTCGTCTTTTCTTGAAACGCCTTTGTCAACAAGTGGATGTTAAGCTGAATTTTCATCGAAAGTTTTAACATGGCGTTTGCTAATTTATTGATTTCCTGAAGTAGTTAATGATATATATGTGTTGTTAAACACATAGCTATAATGCGTATAACGAAACGTATGCATGCCAAAACCATCAACAATGCCCAAGTGTATTGCATCCTAGATATTTTGCATGTATACTAATGGATTCCCAGAAAATTGCTTTTAACTTCTTTGCACTGATTTTATTTTCAAATGCAATAACTCGGCAGTTCAGCATATCGCGCACACGTATGGTTCATTAAAATACAAGCGCTACATCACAGGCATAACTAAAATTTTGAGCTGGTTCTCACAAGGCTAACCTTTGGTTTCCTCCTCGTCATTAGATTTGACACGGGTTACATTGATACATCCATGAATTTCGACATTAACGCTATCTTTGATCAACCTAAGTGTCTTGAAAATGCCTTCAGAAAGCAACCAATACGGTGGATTGGCTTGTAATTTTAACGAAAGTATGTAGCGAAATCCTCCACGTGGTAATTTTTCTACAGAATCCAGTTTACAATCAAGGATTTCTTCAGTTTTTGGGTGTCGGTGTGCTAGCGCGACGAACTGCATTTGGAGGAAGTTTTGATTACTTAGGTTGTGTTGTGCAAACTTTAAAACCGTATGCAAAATACAACTACTCGTTAAATTTGAAGGGATATTCTGCTATCTGGCAGTTTGCTTACTTTTACGCACAGGATATTTTCATCAAAATTTTGGAAAAGCAGTAAGTTCAGCTTTATGTCGAATGCCGCTTCTAAAGAAAGAGCGAAAATGGATCAACTTATTCGGCGAACCATAACAAACCAGGGAAGTTTGCGTTATGCCATTGTCACAAGGTAAAAAATGCCTGTTCTTCAAGCTTTGGTCCGATCAGCTAAGCACACCGAATGTCACGTTTATGATAAACGGCCGTAAGTATTTAGTTGTTGTTAGCGGATTTAACCCATACTTGCTGATTACCAATAGTGTGTAAATGTTTAGAAAGTAATGAGTAGGTACCTGCTTAGTTAGTTTAACCTTTAAAGTATACAGAAGTCCGTAGCAAAGTATAACTTGTTACTTACTGCAAGAGATATAAAGGAGGATAAATGACATACTTATGCACACTGAGAATTTCTACTGCGAGTTAATTATTAAAAGAATCTATATGGCTATCAATGCAGTATTCATGCATGTGCAAACTTCTAATGTTCAACGCTGTTGTTCAAGGTGTTACTTTACCATTAAAACACTGTGTAACACTATGTTATTGCTTTTAATAAGCCGTGTTAACTAGTCTACTAGTGTTCAGGAAAGTTTGACTAAATACTACAAATCGAAGACCGGCATGTTATGCTTAATACCAGGAAAGCAATTGCAGATCTCATATATGTACCTACCGACGACTCTTGTTGATATCCACCAAGATGGTCCTACTGTTGTCGCGCAGTAATCCGCCTTCAAATTCAGGCGCATATTGATGAAAGCAAGTTTCTCAAAAGTATTGCCATGGTGCGGAAATCCGGTTATGTCTTGTGTATTCACGGAGATGGTATAGGGTAGACTGTACCCGCCTGAGTCCAATTTATTCGGTGAATGGGGTATGCATCTCCAGAACTCATGTGAATTCCATACCATTGGAGACCGCGAAATTAGCTGCAGTAAATTTACGACAATATTCTGTTTGTTTGCATTAAACTATCGCATGAAGAGCGCATAATTGTACAAAAAGTAAACTTACCTGGACGCAGCTAACGTTTGTTCCTTCCGAGAGACGGTCAACTGACAGTCGAACTTCAAGCGCTGTAAAATATATCTGCACTATGATGCAAAAGCGTATTTGAATTATAAGTTACGTTAATAGGTTAATAATCCAAAAACGATGAGTAACATTGTCTTAAGTAAAGACATAAGATTCGTCCAACCAAAATGGCAAGCGACCATTTGATCTATGACTAAGAAACTAGTTCGTCTTCTTAGCAGCTAATAGCAGTCGTTATTTATCTAACTGTGAAACAGTAATTAGTGCGTAATCTGCTACGTACCTTGATTTAGGTTAAAACCAATGGTTGGGTTGCACTGGCCTATGCATATTTTGTCCCTAATTGAAAAGAGTGCTCTCGTCAAGTTTCAAGTAGGTGCTCGGAATTTTTGCGGCTACTTAAACACATGACATCTAGAAATGAGCAATCCCGCTTCCTGGGAATGCTCCCTATTTACTTAATACGACTGATAATATCGTGGACCGCCAGCACTTCTCAATTGGGCAACAAAGTGTACAATCAACATTCATCATCGGGTGTTCACAATTAGCTTGCGTGGTCCATCGAGTCCGGCAGGTTTTATGCCATCAAGACTGGCGAGTAGACTGCTGACCTTAAATAAACCGCGATCAAGTACATCAAGTACAGTAGGGGCTACACACGTCGAACTGGGCATTGGCACATATCCACTTGTGTATACGGAAGAGAAGTGCTCCGCCAATGCGGACGCACGTTCTGTGCTGGAGGTAAGACGCTGTCCGTCAGTGCCCTTTAATACAGCTACGTCACTTGCGGGCACCAGGCGCCGCTTCACGTAACCAAAGTCTTCTTGGAAGCCGTCTTCGCTGAGGTGGCAAAAACTCCTCTTCGAACTGCTAGAGCTTTCGCGCTATTGCGCTGTTACATAGATTCTGCGGCCTTTTTTACGTGTCGTAATCGTCGGCAGTGTCAGAAATGAAGCATTCGTTGCACATTTTGCCTCACCGTCGTGTCAATTGACTATACTTTCTGTCGAACCAATGCGTCTTTACTGGTACAGCTTTCCGATAATTGTGGGATGCGAAACGAGCGCACAACGACTGCAACTCTTTTAAAACGGAACAACAGGCTTTAACAGATTAATCCTGCGACAGCAATAAGTCTAGTTCACTGGCGGCTCGATTTATACCATCGATGTCTGTCCGATAATAATTATAAGTAGGCTCCGGCAGACGCGACTAGGGCAGCGACATCTCTAAGCTGGTTAACATCATTGGGCGGTCACTAGGGGCCAGAGGCTCCAGGACCTGCATTCCACGTACACGTTGCTCGCAACTCGTCGGTAGTAGGTCCAGGGACGATGCAGATTTATCCGGTGTATCGCGCCTCGATTGGCAGACAAGTTTTGCTGCCCTAGTTTCAAGAGCCATCTCCGTAAACTGCGCCTTGACGTTACAGTACCAGAGGAAAGTGCAACCTCAGGCTACTTTATTCGAGGGAAGTTAAAACCACCCATATGCATGAAGCGGGGCCTACTCACGTATTTTCAGATGTGCGCAACCAATCCAGGCATCGCCTTCCCGGGCTGCGATATGCAGCACCCACAAATAGTTCAGCCTATCGCAGGCGGATCACGCAACATAACTACTAGTACAAGCCATCTTCGCTACGGTAAGTGTGGGTCAGTCTCACGCATAGCGATGACCGAATGTATAACAGCAAGCCGCCACAATCATTTGATACTCTGTCGCACCAAAACACGAGTAGCTACTGATTGGGACTTCCTGGGTAGTGACTTTAATATTTAACCCACATTCGATCTATCCTATTAAAGCTGGACGACGTGAGGCAACGAGGTGAAATACGTCCTCACGTTTGTTCAATTAACTGCCAACACTTATGACTTCTATGTGCAGGCCGCGTTAGGAAGCTGCGGACGCGCATGAAGCGTCATCCATCTGTTTATCCGTGTTCGGGATATCCGGGAATCTACCCGAAACTTTACGATGTAGAGGTCGTTTTCTCAACTATCAGCCCACCTTTTCAAATCCGCGATAGTGGACGTCGGTTTCCCTCTCTGCGACGGATCCAAATCAAAGCGATATGTAACTTTAGACCTTTTAACCTACCGAGTCGCGATAGATTCGGCCTCGAAATCCTTGCATAACTGAAGGTGCATCGCGGGGACCACTTTCTCCCCTACTAGCACATATTTCTGGGGCCGTTTCGTATTGATACTACACGTTATTCCTTCTTAGTATAACGAAAATTAAGAGTTGCATTATTCTTATATCATAATAAATGTCATTAGATGTAAAAACCTCGCATGGCAGATTCAATGGCAGGTGTTAAGCCTTCACCGTCAGTGGCTATTGCGTCTAGCAAAAACAAATACTATAAATCGGATTTGATTGAGGATAAACTATTGCTGATTCAAAAGCATGTGTAAAAATTATGTAAGCACAATTCTTGTATAGTTGGGAAATTCTAAAGTGACCGCTGTCGGTTCTTCTGGAGCAGTTTGATGGCACTAGGATAAAATGGTTGCGTTTGAGGAAATGCTGTGGTAGAAACGGTACACAGGAACGCTTTACCCTAGAAAGGTTGGGACTGGATACGAGTACAAAAAGTATGAAAGCATCATAAGATTTGTGTAACAAGTGAGCACTGGGTAACTAAACGATCCGTTCAACAACACAAACGCTTACTCATATTTTCAGTCCAAGCTAATAGAAATTTAGAAAACCAAACGAAACAAAGCAATAACATTGTATGCTTGTGATGGTGTTTAAACGCTCAGTAATGCTCGGTGTACAAACAACTGCTTCTATATATTGTACGTATGTGAAACCTATTGGTCCACATGATCAACACTACTCTGGCTACTCGGCATTCTCTTATTCGCACAATGCATATAGCACCAATTTTGGCATGTCGGAGAGGCAGATTGATCCTGATATGCCGTTAGCCTCCTGCATACATTACAGGTCAAATTTTATGCATAATTATGGAAAAACGAGTTACTAAAGGCACAAACCAGACTTAGTTTACAGACAAAAACACGCAAATTTAGGTGGCTCAGACCATCATTCGCACGCTTTAATCTGTGTGCAAACTTCAACGTATAAATTATTGTGTTTCACTGTTTCTCTCAGTTTGATTTTCATCAGTAACCAATAAGTATTTCTTCATTAGGAAGTTGTTAGTCGTCAATCGGTTGCGTTACTTTTCAGTGTTCCCTTCGGATGCGCCTGTTTTGCCGTGACAAACTTGGAAATGAATCACCTCCTAGTTTTTGCTATAAACCATGTATTGTTATTGTCATACAGTCAACCAGTTCTAGTGAAGGATTTCCACTGCATGCTATAGAAGTTCGTTTCTCCCAGTTTACTATTAAAGGCTAACTTGCACAAAGTAATTGGCGATTTACCGCTAGAAAACCATGTCAACGCCTCATGTGAACCAAAATCGGTGATGAATCATCTATGTTAGACCCCGTGTTCACCAAGCAAGTAATGGTCGATATCGTAACCAGAAATGCACCGCTTGACCGCATCGATCATTTGACTCTGCAATCCCTTTACATTTGCCACTCTGAGTACAACAATGGAAGCAACGAGGAAGCCAATGCCACACCCATCATGATATCCTCTCTAGTCTGCTTCATACGACAAACCGGATTTTCCAACACACTAGCCAGAGAATACCCGGAAGCCAATCCACGATTCTCGTGAAAAGAACTACATTTCTTTCTCAGCGCCTTAAAGACAGACTATCGACCAGGTCCAAATCGTACGTCGTATATGAATTTACTATTATTTTAGTACGAAGCACCTCGGATAGACAATCATCAATTTGCCTGACCACTGTCTCGAATTCCTGCGAAAATGGACTACTAGAAGTATAAGGAGTTCGACCCTTGGATATTTGGTTCAAAGTGGGCAAGAAATCCAACAAATGGCGCTTTTAACCTTATCAAATGCATGCCATAATGATATCATATTGAGCTTATTAGGTGCCTTCTAAATCTAGCCAAAGCGATAGAAATCAGGCTAACACCACCGTAGTGCATGTGGGGCATTTCAATCAGCAGTGCCATTTTCAATAAACATAGTTTTTACAATATCGCTATAGATGCATTAGTTCTCACAAAATATTACAACATTGATCATTGTCAAACTATTTTCAACGTTAGTATTGCTGCCTCTTGGCTACATTTTGAGTTACTTAAGATACTGCGCAAATGAATTTGGACCGCCTCGACTAAAAATTTGAACTTTCAATGAAGCGTCCCTGCAGAATGCCGCTTTAGAATATTCCATCTGGAAAGGTTGACTTTTTGCAAGTTTATACTGATCGTTTACTCAACTGACACTTGTATATAGCGTACTTATTATATGCATGCAACATTAGGGTTTTGATAACATAATTTTAGCTAATCTGCAGTGGATATTCTAGTGCCCTGATGATGCATTCATTTGCATACGTAAAGCTCATTTTAACGACTTGAACCAGAGGTTTGCAAAGAGGGGATACCGGTGCGATCTCCTATATAACAGTCCCCTTGACGAGGATTCATCTATGTGGAACACCGACGATGACCGACATTGGCTTTACTTCTTCGACGATAAAATTTTGTTAATGAAGATACCACCAGCTGTGTCAAGTGGGGTCACATTAGGTCAGTTGACATTGATAACTTGGCTCCCATCAACTAAGCAAATCCAGTAAAGCTCCGATGGAATAAGCTGATCCAGTTTAGACTCTCCAACAATTTCGCTTCAACCTACATTAGCAGGGGTTTCATCCAGTAACACTTGCAAACGTAGTTACCTGATTTGGTTTGTCAAAAAGAGCTCTCGTTGAAACCGCGTTTTCTTACCTTCCCTTGGTTAGTAGCCAAGAATATTGAATGTTTCTGATACGAATATCAAAGAATGTTTAATTCAAAATTCCGCCACATTAGTTGTTTTGAACTTGCAAATGAGTGCAGCGAAAATGGTAGATAAATTAGGTAACATTAAAATGTTGCTCGCATGCTTACTTAATGGTAATAAATCA